TATATAACACCGACTTGAGAACAAACTTGGTGTCAACGCCATAACAATATTAACAATAACGTGCGTGGGTTCAAATCCCACCGAGGCTACTGAACTTTTCACAATCACCATACAGTCATATGGGAAAATACCGGGCCGTTTTTTGCAATGTGCTCAAACAGCCTCGGTACATTCATGAAGACAGGGTGAGAATTCAAAACTTGTGTCACGTTCTCTCGTTCAGATGTAAACGGACTCCAGTCAAGTGAATAAATTGCTTCATCACATCCTCGGGTGCATATTCAGCCATCAAATAAATACCCAACAGACAAAGAAAATGAGGCGATTAAATGCACGAAAAGTACGGAATTAAACTATCGTGGTACACAAGTCACCCTTTTTGGTGTGTTGGGAACCGTGTGCTGGATGAGGTGAGCTGTGTGCATAAATCAATCCCAGCACCGGAATGGATAAATGTGTGAGTGATCTGGATAACATACTGTAATGATTGTAGTGATGGTAATTGTAATACGCACTGAACTCGGAATACGAATCACGCAATACGAATCACGGAATACGAATCAAGGATTAGCAATCACTGAGTGTATAACGTCAGCACTGGACCGCACTGGCTTTAGCACGCAATATCCCACGGAACTGAGACGCGAGGAAAAGGTCACAGAAGTAGTAGTTCCTTTTTTTGAAAGAAATAATGGAGATTAAATAATATGTTCAAAGTAAGTTCATTGGTTACCCGGGCTTCTACCAATCGCATTCCGGTATTGCTTGCATCGTTCTGCTTCTGTCTGGATCGCACGGTCTCTGATTGGCTATTACGATCTACCAATGGTGTGTATTCAGAAGCAGTGACCCGTACGAGCGTTGTTGATGTCACCCGTGAAGTTTCATTGATCGTAGTTGTCCTAAAACTGTAACGCATCGCTCCGTGGTACACGTCATCTGGTTGGTCCGGATCACCACACATACAAATGGCCTTTTGCAATAAACAACGAGAACTCACTGGAAAGGCGTAGAGCCAGTGTGATAAAACGTACGCATGTACAAACCGTTCTAGCAAATGTGATGGATTGGATAAGAGGTTGAGTTCGGACTAAGTGAGGGAATATTGACGAATGACTGCCAAGTATCTAACTGATGTCTACAGACTAAGTGGTCCATCGTTAGTGAATGCTGACTGACATGTGTCAAGAAAATCAGCATTCGATTTATCCATTCAGAGAGATGGGAACAATTTCAGATTGGTTTATGAAAAGATGTGGGTGCAGAAGACCAACGAATACCGGGTTCAATAGCAGGGACTGTAGAGTTATCCGGGTAAGGTGTGCATACAATATTTGGTCCGCACGGAGTTATTACAAACAGACATTGATGTCAAATGTGTGGAGAAGAAGAAAGGAGACAAAAAGTTACTCAGAAGAACCTCTAGTTTGGAAGTTAAGGCTGAAACCTTGATTGTATTGGCTTGTGAACTGTGTGTTCTAAAGGAGAAGTAACCGTTTAGGAAGACTGGAGGTAGGCAGAATAAAACTAAGCTGGTCTGGTTCAACAGTTCCAATTGCATCAGTGCATCAGTCTAAACCGGACTCCTACCAGTTTAAATCTATTATCGATCGATGGCATTACGAGTGGACCACCGTTTAGGAGAATAACTGAATTGCTTGCAATCGTTGCTTTTCAACTGGCGTGACAATTTGCGTAAACGCACCTTTCCCAGTATCCTCATGGCATTCGAAGTGCGACAGACTGTAGCAAAACATTTTATTGGGTTTTTCTTGGGAATTGCAACAATGTAGACTGTTATCCAGCAATCAGATTTTCAAAATTGTGAGACGCATTTAATTTGTTGGACCGGATAGGAAGGAGATAGGGTACTGGAGCATTCTTTTAACACGGTAGATTGCAATCCATCTAGTCCGCAGGCTTCAGGGGAGTGCCAGTCCAGGAAGATGGTCAGGTAACTCTAGTACGTGAATAGAACTACGGTTAACCATTCCAATGAGGCCATGATTTATAGCTTCACTATGGAGAGCGCCCATTAGCCGAAAGATCGCAGAACTATTCAAGCATTCTTTGAGAGTATATGTTGAGTGCGTCCTAAGCTCGCTCTGTAAATATTAATCTTAATGGATTTTGCTAGAGTTTTCTCTCACTAATCACAGTGCTTCTCTGGATTGCGTAAACTATCGCAATAATTTTACGCGATCAACACGTTCATGCTTTAGGTAATTCTCTTTCACTCGTCTAATACAATGAGATTAAACCTAATGTATACTGTGTGGTTAGAATGTATCTTCATAGTGAAGATGTTGGCCTTGTGATCCAAGTAGGGTCGATGGTTTCGTACTGTTCATGAAAATGAACGAAGTCGAAACAGATTTCTATAGAACATCCGAGATTTTCGTCTCATGCTTTTTGTTGTTCCTCTACTATTCCGCCTAGCATATTTCCTAATAATTGGGACAACAACATGACGTCCAAACCTTGCTCCCCCCTCGAGGTGATGAATAGAATTCATAGTGCAGTCCCGTTCGTCCTGATGTACGACATGCAATTTTTCTGCCAGGATCAGATGGTTGTGGATAGGCGGTAAAGATCGATAAGTTATCGATCCAGAGAACGTGTGTTCGAAAACCATCAACGAGGCCTTACATTCCCACGTTCTGTGTATTAAATAACAGCAATCGGAGGGCATTTTGTCAATTTCATTTGCTTCCGGATTGGTCGGATTTGTGAAACCATCACTTTTTACTAATAAATTATCTATTTGAATTGAAAAAGAACCGCTGCTTCCGTTCAAAGCACCTCATTGAGCAATTGATTTCCCGTCGTTTTCTGTCCCCTGATTGAACACCTGTGTTCCAAAGCTCTTTCCATATTGAAATGAAACCGCAATTTGCATCTTGTCGGATCCGTTAACGGACGTTCATTTGGTGGGTAAATGAAGCGGTGCGATTTGCTCGAGACAGTTAAGTTGGACCTAACTAGATAAACACAAAAGATAACTTGCTACAGCTAAGGCAAAACTGGTCGCAGTGGTTAGCTCATTGAAGATAGCTCAATCACCCAAGGTTGCCACTGTAAGTATGATCGGGGATTAGTTCAGTTCTTACGCGGTGTACTCCACTGACGGCAATTTTCGTCTCACGGATCCTAGGGGCGATTCGAACAGAAACATTTGAGAGGCTTGGGTGGGAGTTGTTGAGATAAACTTTGGACCATCAAATGTCGAATGGAAAACATTCAAAAACATTGACCGAAGTCAATACCGTTCCACAACAGCTTACAGTAAACGTGACATGATAAAGTGTTGGCGATCGATAGATTGACACCAAGTGAACTTCTATGGTTGATAGCCAGAATAAAGGGGCCCCAGGGACCATTAAAAAATAAAGTTAATCATCGTCATCATCTTCATTATCATCATCATCATCATCGTCGTCAACATCCAGATTATCATGATGCACGTTGTCTGGTATAGTTTTTCAACACACGGTTTTTCATGAATTTTGGTCTCCCCATTAATTTGTCTAGAGTGAGGCCTCTGGGAAGGCCAATGGGATGCACTAAATGGAAATGGATCCAACCCAAGCCTTTTTGGTCTTTTCAAATCAATCCTAAAGTGATACAGGAAGCGTATCAATGTGATAAACGAGCATCTGCTATTCCTATCTTGAACTGGTTTCACGGAGTATTGGTCACGTTTGACCGGTCAACTGACACCTTGAATTTTTCAATCCAACTTGTACTAATTACGTCATATCATTGAATGGACAACGAGAGTTCTATCTTCATGAACTCCAGTTACAGAACGCTCTTGTGGATAATAATCGATTTGAGACAAACGCAGATGTCCTATTCATTTGATTGTTTCACAATTTAGGAGAGAATGTGAAATGTTTTATTTCAAGTCTAAGCGGTACATGATGAAGTGCGTGTGATCACCGGGATTGCGTAATTATTATTCCAGTGCGCATTTCGAGCAGAACACATCGCTTTGAAATGCCGCCGGTGGAGGGGCGGGGGTGTGTGCATCCATCTCTCTCTCTCTCGTTCTATCTCTATGGTCCGCCCTCTCTCCACGGCCTCCAAGTCGAAAGTGTTTTCCCGGCACATGTTCGAAACGAAACCATGCCCATGTAATGCATGCCACTCTGAAGAGTGAAATGGGTCAATTTGTACGGTTCACTACTTCACGAAACCCATTTATTTATCTTTCTGTCCATCTGTGCAGGTGGAAACACTTGTGAGTTTCCGGCGCCGCAGGATTTGCTCAAGATTTTTTTTCTTTTTAATGGGTAAAATTGAATGAAAACCATCCAGTTTTCATTGTTCACTACTTCCTATACTTGAATATAATAGACTGGATCAATAAATGCATGAACGCCCGCACAGTCTGATTTGGTGAGCATGAGTAATTAAGTTATACGATGAACAAAACACTTAGATGCGTTATAAGCTATGATTGTACATAGATCAGCTCGGATTCGTACCCAGACTTTGATATCACATTCGTTTTGTCCAGCCAAAGGCAACTCTTAACTAGCCATGAATGACCTCATATGAGACTCCACATCGATCAGCTGTTGGAACAGCATTCACTGTGCCTGTGTGTGTGTGTATGTGTACATGCAATATCTACGCAAGAATACTCGTTTCCCCGTCCCGTATTCTCTCAACAGATCCAATTTTACAATGCACTGACTAACCAGAAGAAAACGTACGGGGAGTTTTTCAGTGTATTTTTTCGTCGTCTGCACACAATGCAAACCCAGTTCGATCGACATACTGGGCTCGAAGTTTCCGGTCGGGGGAATTCCAAACCGAGGAACGGACTTCGAATGAGTGAAGCCGATGGTGGAAGTAAGTGACCGTTTGAGGATTGAAAGGCTCTCAGCGGTCCAGCTGCAGTTCCGGACCACATTGTGAAACAAGTGGGAATATCACGTTGGATGCTTTCAATTCTTTGCAGTGATCTATTGGCATTCTAGTCCATGTTTTGATGTGCCCAGTCATTCGTTTGGACAATAGAATAGTAGTTGTGATAGCCATCATTCCAGTTACCACCGTCCTCCACCCCCCCCCGTCCTTTCCCTCGGCGTTTCTCCCGTCCTCCTCCGTACTCCTCTCGTCCTTCCCTCGTCCTCCCTC